TACGGCACGGCGCACCAGCCCAGCTAATTTTTGTATTTTTAGTTTAGAGGATGGTATTTACCATGTTGCCAGGCTGGCCTCTAAACGCTGACCTCAGGTGGACTGCCTGCCTCATCCTGCATCCAATGTGCTGGGGATTACAGGTAGTGAGCCATTCCCGGCCTAGCCTAATGTTTTACATTTTTATCTGTGTAAGATGAATTAAAAAGTTTTTAAAAGCCAACTGGGATGTATGAGGGCTGTAGAGGGAACTTTTGAGGTTGACAAATCAAGGTGGTGATTCTTACACAAATTTGGGGGACATTTGTCAGAGGCAGAATTATGCATGGATAGAGAGAGAGAGATATTGGATATTAGCCACTCTTGGCTATAAGAGCACAGTAGGCCAGGTGCGCAGTGGCTCACGCTGTAATCGCCAGCACTTTGGGAGGCCGAGGCGGGGCAGGACTCACGAGGGCAGGAAGATTCAGACCATCTGACTAACACGGTGAAAACCCGTCTCTACTAAAAATGCAAAAAAAAAAAAAAAAAATTAGCCGGGCGTGGGTGGTGGCTCCTGGTGTCCCAGCTACTCAGGAGGCTGAGGCAGGAGAATGGCGGTGACCAGGAGGCGGAGCTTGCAGTGAGCCGAGATCGCGCCACTGCACTCTAGCCTGGCAGCCTGGGAGACAGAGCAAGACTCTGTCTCAGGAAAAAAAAAAAAAGATGCACTAGTGTTTTATCTGACACTAATACAGAAGAAAAAAACAAACAAAAAAAACCCAAAAAAAACCCTGTCTGCCAATTACACTGTGATGCATACTTATATGTGATTGTAGGACAGATTTCAGTTGCAGAGATGTTTAAATTTGGAAGCATGTGCATCCCTGAACCAATGAAAAAATGGAACAAGATATCATTTTCATCGTTTTACGTTTTATAACATGCTTTTTGGGCAATCCTATGATTGCCCAAAAAGTTACTTGTTTTGCTGAAGGGGAGGTTAAAAGAAGCTAAACGACCTGGGCAGTGTCTCAGGGGGTCAAGCCCAGCCCTCTCTGGAGAGCTAGCGCTGTTCATATGGTTGCATGCATTCTCTTTCTGAGGGTGTGATGTCATTCCACAGACAGAGTCTCACTCTGTCACCTAGGCTGGAGTGCAGTGGCTGGATCTCACTGCACCCTCCACCTCCTGGGTTCAAGCTATTCTTGTGCCTTAGCCTCCAGAGTAGCTGAGATTACAGGCACGCGCCACCAGGCCCAGCTAATTTTTGTATTTTTAGTAGAGATGGTATTTTACCATGTTGGCCAGGCTGGCCTCTAACACCTGACCTCAGGTGATCTGCCTGCCTCAGCCTCTCAATGTGCTGGGATTACAGGTGTGAGCCACCGTGCCTAGCCTATGTTTTACATTTTTATCTGTGTAAGATGAATAAAAAGTTTTTAAAAGCAACTGGGATGCTATGAGGGCTGTAGAGGGAACCTTTTGAGGTTGACAAATAAGGTAGTTGATTCTTACACAATTTGGGGACATTTGTCAGAGGCAGAATATTGCATGGATAGAGAGAGAGAGAATATTGGATATTAGCCACTTTTGCTTATAAGATGCACCAGTAGGCCAGGCGCAGTGGCTCACGCCTGTAATCCCAGCACTTTGGGAGGCCGAGGCGGGCAGATCACGAGGTCAGGAGATCAAGACCATCCTGACTAACACGGTGAAACCCCGTCTCTACTAAAATTGCAAAAAACGGAACATAAACAGGTGGCTAGGGATCCTATACCCAGTAACTCAGGACGGACTGAGGGCAGCGAACGAATGGCGCGAACCCCACGGAGGCGCGGACTTTGCGTGGAGGCCGAGATCACGGCGCCACTGCACTCTAGCCTGGCCAGCCTGGGAGACAGAAGCAAGGACTCTGTCTCAGCGAAAAAAAAAGTACAACATAGTGTTTTATCTGACAACTAAACGAAAACAACAACCCAAAAACCTGTCCTGCCAATTACACCCTGGTGATGCAATACTTATATGTTATAATGATAGAACAGATTATCATCGCAGAAGAGATGTTTAAATTTGGAAGCATGTGCATCCCTGGACACCAACTGAAAAAATGGAAACAAGATAATCCATTCTCAATCGTTTTACGTTTTATAACCTGCTTTTGGGCATCCTAAATGTATGGCACACAAAAGTTACACATATATTATCTGTTTAGGCAAGAGAGAGAGGAATTGAAGCTAAACACCTGGCAGTGGGTCTCAAGGG